AGAGCCAGGCAAAAAACAAATATAACTGAGTTGTGGGTAGGTGCTGGGGGTGGGAGGGCTGACTGCCAGCTCCAGGGTGAGGCAGGCACCTGGTGCCAGGGGAGCACAGCTGTTACCTACCAACATGGCCACAAACAGAACTGCTCCCTGCACCCCAAAATGTGGGTACCACAGACACTCCACCATGGCCCCAAAGTGCCCCTCCCATCCCTTTATGCATTGCCCCACCACTTCAAATCCCCCTGGCTCTGCTTTATTCCCCCATTATCCCACATATGGTCATACTCAGCTCTACCCCATCATGTTTCAATCAGACTTGACCATTCCCCACATACCCCACTGAGTCCTACCCTGACCCCTCACCACCTATGTGCATCCTGCACAGACTCATCCCCATCAGCCCCTGCCCTCCTGACCCCTCACCACCCCCTCACACTCCACTGAGCCCTCCCTTGAACCTCTGAGCATTCAAACCTCACTGCAGCAAGGGTCACTGTACCTCTTTGCTTCACTTGTACAACTCCCTCCTGCCTCTGACCACTGTGCCACAGCCACCAGATAGTTGGGCTTGCCTCAAACCCTGCCCTTCCCCTCCCTGTCTCTAATATGTCATGGATTTGAATTCCCTAGGAACAAAGCTCGCCTGTCCAAGTTCTTCAGTAGTAGCACATCTTTTCTGCACACCACCAGTGTGAAGAGCAAAACATTACCAGGATAACTGTAGAAGAAAGGCTAGCTGAATTAGAGAAAGATCAAGAGTTGTTAGCACCTATAGAGTGAAGAGTAGATAATCAAGTAGATAATAATGAATGAGCCATGGAATTGACCAACTTGTCTCAATAGAAATGCAGCTGCCTTATGTTTTGGGGGTGTTGGTTATAGCCATGTTGGTCTAAGGACCTAGGCAGACAAGCTGTGTTCGTCTAAGAATATAGACAGACACAGACTGTCCCTATGGGCAGTTTGTTTTAAACTTTGAGTTGACCAGGAACCAAAGGGGGAGGAGGGGAGAGGCTGTACCACTAACTCCCCTCCTCCAGATCTACCCCTGCATATCTCCCATTTTCCCATAGCCAAATTTTTCCTAATGGTGTCTGATAGATGCTGGTTATAAGAGGTAGTATTAAAATAATGCAGAAAGTATCACAGTCAACAAAACAGTGCACATCTAATAACGATCACTTTTTCTGCTGTTTATTTTCTTGAGTTTCCAATATTAGTCTGCTCACAATAAACATGAACACAACTTTTCAAAGGTGACTTGTCATTTTTTGTTACCAAACTTGAAATGTCTTAATGTAGAAAGTTCTAAACTTCTGCCTTCTGTGAATTAGGCCTTTTTGTGTCTCAAGTTGAACACCCGAAATTTGAGGAATCCATAATCTAATCACTGGTCATTTTTGAAACACTGGACAGGGAGAATGGAATGCCATCACATCACTATTTCAAGACTGAATTAATTACCATGTGCTCAAGGCAGGTCTATAATTTAATTAATGACAACACTTTTTGCCCTAACACAATTTTTATTACACATATAATTGTGTGCCTATATACACAGTTCCATATATACAAGCTTTGCCTAACCACACCAGTGAAGACTTCCATGTTCTGTTTTTCATGCTAACTGCCACAAAAATATTATTCTGCATGAGATCAGTAGCAGCAACAGTTGTTTAATTCATAAATCTTGTCTGCTTTACAAGAGACAAAGCTACTTGTTTATGCAATTCCCTAAATCCAGCAACCTAAATTTGAAAGTTCCCATAGTCAATGCTCCATAAAAGATTAAGCTTAAAGTAAAAAGATCAATTAGATGTCATACAACAATAACCTGTTGGCCTCCCTATACTTGTCTTCATTAGTTTTATCAATTAGACTTGCTCTTGCTGTAGAATTACCACTGGAACCATTATTCAGTTCTTAATTTGTAGAAGGTGCAGTGGGTGGGGTGTGTGTGTGTGTGTGTGTGTGTGTGTGTGTGTGTGTGTGGAGAGACAGATACATACATACATTTTATAAATAAATAACACACACAGACACACACACACACGTATGTATGTACATTGTTGTCAACAGTCCTTTGGGCTAGGGACAGACATTCAAAACACCTGAGCCTTAACTGATTCAATCTTTACACGTTAATGTAACCTGGCTAGGCTGAATCGGTTTGTAACTGATCAAACATTCCCTCTGGACTGAGAAAATGCAGGCATGCGCCACCAGTGGCTCAGGCTAGAAGCCAGGAGACTCTAGAACAGCTCTCCCTTCCCTTCCATAGT